ATATATATGCGCGTGTGTGTGTTTTTATTTAAGTTAGAGACTCAGATAAAGCTGCAAGAGGAAGAGGAGACGATGTTTCATCTCAAAGCTCAGATTGGAGAAAAGAAAATTATAATTTTTCTAAATTATTTATTTGGTTAGTCTTGTATTTGTAACAAAAATTACCATTAATAGTTTAAAATAGTTTATGTATTTTACGAGCATAAAGTTTTTTTCTCCCCGTTGAGCAAAACAAATGGGGAAAAAAGACAAATTAGGGTTTATTCTTCTTTTGTTTCTCAATTAAAAAWCTGCATGACACAGCTGATACTTCCGATGCTGTTTTATATGTTTATAAATGCAGTTCGGGGTTAATAAAAAGACATCTGTTATTTGTTTTTACTTCGTCACAGCTGCTCATTTCCACCTCCGTCCTAACGAAAGCTAAATGCTAAGCTAACGGTTAGCCTTTTCTTTTCTGGAGTATAATTCATGCAGATCTGTGATTCTTCTCACCAGCTGTTTGGTTTAGAACGTCCTCTTGTTGGTGGACACAGGGGCCTTTATGATCTGAGTTGTCTCTTAGCAGACTTTTAGTGTTGTTTTGATGAAGATAATCCTCTTCGTTCATCTTCGTGTTGTCCTTTAAAATCTAAATAAGTTCTCAGTCGAAGTCAAGAAAAGAACAAAAATATTTTTGTCAAACAAAAGTCATCAGTGTTAAACAGAAGCTGCAGTCACAGATAAGCAGCATCCGTGTCAATAAATAATTATTCGTGCGGTATCAGATAATCAGTGCTGACTGTGCGTTCACACATCTTTTTGAACAGGCACCTAAAAGGACACCTTTATCCTCCGACGCTGTCTTTGGTCACCATGGTAACCACAGCCTCCCAGCTGTTTCATCACATGTGCAGTAGTTAAAGCAGTAACTAAACAAAACAAAAAATAAAAATAAAAAAGAAAACTTCTATACAATTATGTTTTAAAAGTCAATCATTTAAATTTATATAAAATAATTTATATTTTTACAAAAAATATTCTATTAAACTTTGAGGTAGTTTATATTTTTAACAATTTGTGCAGAAGAACAGAGTTTAGATAAATCCAGCTATTTTATTTAACTAAAACACAGCCATTTAAATAAAACAAATAAATAATGTTGGGGGAAAAAAACTTTTATTTAAATTAAGTTACAATTGTATTCATATTGAACACGTTTCCAACAATCTTTTTTTAATGAATATTCAAAGATATGTGAAAAATATGAGCTCATGAATACAAATACAAAGAAAGTGCACAGATTTAGTGTGAAATCAGGTCCGTTAAACAGTCATCTGGTCATTAATTAATCATTTTACAACATTTTCTCAATTTACAAGACTTAATTAGTGTTTGAACTTGTGATTAATCAAAAAAAACTAAGAAATGCTGAAGACTGAAATAAAATATAAATGAAAAATCTTCCAGCTCTGGCTGACTCATTCAGCTGTTCAAACTCAACCAACCTAAATTCAACAATTTTTTATTTTTTGTCTGATTTTTCTAAAAAAGTGTGCTGGTGGTCATTAAGTAAACTTTAAATCTCCTTCATACAACAATCATACGATTTTGTAATTTACCATAATTATTTTTTTAAAGTTAAATATTTGTCTCATTTTCAAAGAGCCATAAACCTCTCTTATTATTGGGTTTAAGTTGCTTTTCAAAACAGCCCATTTAAACCCAAATATCTCATAAATGGTGAGAACATGAAATGTTAATATGGGTGAGCAAGCACCGAAAAACAAATGGATGTAAAATAAAATCTTTGGTGCTTCAACCTATTTTCACTTCATCGAAACTCAAACTGAGGAGGAATTAAAAATAAAAAGTGTGTCRTCTTTAGTATGTGGGTAAAAGCCTTTGCTTTGGGATTTTTCCTCCACGTTTRTTCTTCTCTTCAGCTGAAGCTGGAAAAGAGCTTCTAGCCTAAGTGGAATTTCATGTGTCGGTTTAAACTTCCCTGCTGGGTGAACTCCTGACCACAAACGCCACAACCAAATGGCTTCTCGCCCGTGTGAACGGTGATGTGCGAATCCAGATGCGTTTTGCGGGTGAACCTTTTGCCACAAAAATCGCAGCTGTGAGGTTTTTCTCCAGTGTGAACCGCCATGTGAGTACTGAGGTGCGTTTTACGATTAAACCTTTTGCCACAGACCTCGCAGCCGAACGGCTTTTCCTCCGTGTGGACCGTCATGTGGGTCCTGAGGTGCGTTTTTCGCTTATAACTTTTACCGCAAACGTCGCAAGCGAACGGTTTTTCRCCCGTGTGGACCGTCATGTGCGCCCTAAGACTTGTCTTACGATTAAACCTCTTACCGCAGAGATCACAGCCAAAAGGCTGCTCCCCTCCGTGGACGATCATGTGCGTCTTCAGATTGTTCTGGTGCCGTGCTCTTTTACCACAAATATCGCAAACAAAAGGTTTCTCTCCTGTGTGGATTCTCATGTGGGTTTTCAGGTTGTGCTGATGCTTAAACCGTTTACTACAAACTTCGCAGCTAAACGGCATCTCGCCGGTGTGAATTCTCATGTGGATCTTTACGTTGTGCTCATGCTTGAAGCTCTTACCACAGCTTTCACAGCTAAACGGTTTCTCCTCGGAGTGGACTCTCATGTGAGACTTGAGACTGAACATATCTCGAAATGATTTCCCGCAATCGTCACAGCTGAAATTCTTCCTCCCTGTGTGGGCTTTAGTCTGAGAGTCAGCATCTTTCTTGGCTCTGGAACACTTCTGATTACCTGGGCAGGTGGAAGACGCTTTTTCTGTGTTCCGTCTCATGTGTCTCTTCAGAGACTGTTTATACAGAAACTGTTTGCCACACTCTGAGCAGCTGAAGGGTTTCTTCACCGAGCTACACCCGGCTGATTCAGCTGCTCGGCTTTTCTGCCAACCATTGTCAGTCTCTGACAAAGGGTCCTGCCACTCTTCTTCATCGTCATCAGCATCATCAGTCGCAGAGGAGTYCTCGTCCTCATCCGTGTTTGCTTGTGTTTTTCTGATCAGTTCCAGCTGTCCACCATCCTCTCCATCATTTTCTGTTTTGACCCACTTAAATGAACTACTGGTGGGACGCTCTGACTCTTTGGGGTCACAGGCTTTCTGGCTTTTAGGCTGAGAGGAGTGAGGTTCCTCTACATCCTCTTCAGTCTTCACGATAACAGTTAATGGAAGTCTGCAGGGTTCAGTCTCACCCCAGGCGTGAAGATACCCGCCATCCTGACAGATCCATTGGTCTTCCTCTTCCTCCTTGATGCGAAGGGGGTGTTGGTTAGATGTCGGACTCCAAGGACCTTCTTCTTTAATCGAAAAAGACGTTTGAACACCTGCAGGCACAAAGAATCACATGTGGACAAATGTTACTTCATAAAACCTTTAGTAACTTTGTTTAATCTGAAATGCTACAATACTGGAAACAAGAAAGTCCTCTCTTAAAATACAGGTTTATTAATAATAATAATAATAATGTTATTAGAGAATAGGAGTGTGCTCAAATTACTCTTCAGGCCTCAGTTAGCAGCAGCGGTGGGCACAGTTCCCCTAAAGCACTAATAGGGGAACTAATGTCTTGATTAGTGCTTTTGCTATTTTTTTATTCATTAGTGGATTAGCACTTGCTAAATTTATAGRCTAAATTTGGAAGCACTAACTGAGGTCTTTAAATGTTATTGATCAACTCTATTGTTCACAGTTGAGAGTGAAAGCTGTCACACATTTTGTTGATATGTGTGTCACCAGAGGTGTCAAGTAACTGAGTACAAATGTGTTGTTACTTCACTTAAAGTAGAAATTTTGGTTATTTATACTTTAGTGGAGTAATTATTTTTCAGCCTACTTTTTACTTCTACTCCTTACATTTTAATTCATTTATCTGTACTTTCTACTCCTTACTTTTTAAAAAATGCAAAAAGTATTTCAGTTCTATTTGGCTTTGACTTGTTTTTATTCCATCTTTTCATTGTTCAGAAAAAAATAAATAGAAATCTATCCAGATACATGAAGCCCATGGATGAGAAGTGTAAATATATATCATCCTATTGGATTGAACACACTCCATCACACCTGTACGACATGAATCACATCACATCCCAGCAGGACAGACTGTAACAGATGGAGCCTTGAATGAAGATGATTGTGGCTGAAACAACTAGTCTAGTCAGTTAATTGCAAATTTTTCAATATTAACATTTAAATTTAACATTATATCATTGACTTTAGAAGAAAAATGTATGTGTGTGTGTGTGTGTGTGT